CTTTGCGCCACAACGGCGTGCAATTTTTCATCTCTCCTCTGGCCAGCTGGCTCCGCACCCGCCGCTTTAGCGAGCCTACGTTTCGACCCTCCGGAGCCACAAATCATTGGAAAAACACAGTGAATCGCGACTTTCCTACCTTTTCGCGCATCTGTATCTTCTGTCCTCTGACTCTTCTCTACTTTTCATCTGTCCATATTGTCGGAAGTTTGACTTCCAAACTTCCTTCGATTATGGTGATATGACCTTATATGATATGTGGATTTAGCATGTTTTACCAACCATGGACAGGGATCATCTCATGCCCCAATAGAAACGGTGCACTATTTTGCAGTATGGGGCGGCTTAACATGTTTAACCCACAGGCTCTGAGAGGATCACAATGCCATCTCGGCCATCAGGGCACCAGGGTCAAGAGCAATTATGAAGTCCGAACCTCAGCGAGGTCAAGAAGGAAGAAACAGGTAAGAATCTCATGAGTCCGACGATGTCCGACGAGTCCCAATCGTTTTTTTGGTGATGTACTTCAGTGACAGATGCAGGATTCTTCAGACATGTCAGGGTTTGTTATTTGCATCCTATTTTTGGGGCACATGGCTGTCATTCGTGCGTTTATGAAGGAAAGCAGTCTCCTGGCACTTCCGTGTGATCACTTCAAAAGAATTGCTGTAGAGTCTGTAGAGAAGCAAATCCTTTCCTTCCATGTGATTTTTGCGCTGAGTCTGTCTTGTTATCATTAATCCCTGTGTGGTGGTTTCGGAATGTTTCGAACTATCTCAGATTCTGAAACCTTCCCCACTGTATCCGCCCTCTACAGTCTCTGCAGTCCTTTTGCAGTCAGCGAATGAGTCCTGTCGGTGATGAATTTTGGCGGTCCCAGGCTGATGACGAAGCACTTGCGGCCGAGGCAGGGAATGCAAGGACTTGAGATGACTTGAGTACTTGGCGGATTGAAATTCTGGATGTCTCTTACTTTGGTCTTTGAGGATTCCTTGTAATTTGTTTTGGCCTGTTTATCTACTGCTATACTGGCTATACTGTACATTGCGTGTACTATTTGATACCTTTTTGATCCTTTTTGATCCTTTTTGGCCCAATTGCCTCAATTGTCTCTATCCAGAGCAGTCAAAGCTAGTTCTCACTGTTGCTTTAAGGCAGCACTGCCTTGATAGCCCTCGGTCTTCCGAGGAGCTTGCGCACAAACAGAAAATGAGTTTCTTCTAGAGAAGTCCCAAAGGTTTTTTTCCTCGTAAGTCGCAAGTGATGTTTCGGTTTTTTGCAAGGCACTGCGGGTCAGATGCAAATATATACAATGTATATATATATGTTAATATATATATAATATATAATATAATATAATATAATATAACATAATATAATATAATATAATATCATATGATATGATATAATATAATATAATATAATATGATATAATATAGTATAATATAATATAATATATACATTCAGAAACCCAGTAGGATTTCCAGGTCTAGCTGAGATGGCAATTGGATCAAAGGGCCCTAGAACTTCAACGATAAAAACTTCTACATTCTGCCTAGGCGAAAGCCAGCCCGCAGATGTATGTGGCAGTCGCTATTGCCATGGTAGGTCCCATGCCTAGATGACCTTGGACAGAACCACAGTCCACGCGGAGTTCAAAGGGAGGGGCCCAGAATATCCAGCGACTTTCTCTGACTTGAGGCGCTGCCATGTTTGGCTTCGACCAGGGCAACTTTGGCAATGTCCAGGCTTGGTTTGAAATCGACACCCTCCCTTTATCTCTTGTAAAAGAAGCCTTCATCATTTTTAAGCCCCCTGTCATCGCATGGGCCCATCCTACTCACTTGAATCTCACTTGAGTACCCTCACATATACGATCATATGATCATATATGTGTAAACACAGTCGCACACACAGAATAGACTCAATTGCATTGCAGTTTCGCATCTCATTCAGAGCTTGCAGTTTTGCATTTGTTGGGATTGTGACGTAAATGACGTAACATTTTTTTGCAGCATGCGGATGTCGCCAGACACGTCAGGCATTCAAGTCTTTCCGGCGCGAGTGGTGCCTGGGTAGGCTGGACATCCGGTAGGCTCTCTGAGATTGGAGCTGAATGGAGCTGATTGGAGCTGAGATGGTAATGATATTCCAATGAGAAACATTGAGAAACCATGTTGGAGGATTCCGCATCATGATCTCATTATCTTATCCACACTGTCTATCACTGTCTACACCAGCGGAGAAACGCAAAGGGATCTCAAATCGCAACGTGGAGGTATGGCGATGAGGAAAGCTGCGGCGATGAAGGGCCCACGCCTCATTGACTGTGTTCCATCGCAGGCTAAAGGACTCAAAAGGTAATGAAGTGATGTGAAGATGTGAAGCGTATCTAATTTACTGGGTGGTTCTAACTTACACGCAACATATGTGTTTGTATATGTTTGTGTGTTTGATAGAATGTTTGGTAGTATCGATTGGTAACTTGATGGTTGTTGCGGTGTTAGTAGCCACGAGTAGAGAAACAGATCTTTCCCGTTGGTTTGGAACAGGTCTTGAGACTTGCAATAAAAGAGGACAGTAGCTCTACTTACTTCTTGCCTACTAATACGTTTGATGATTCTGTACACGATGGTTCAGTCGGCGTAGATATGCCTGTGTCTTGTCTAAATATATGGAGAGGGACATCCCTTATAGGGATACGCCTGGAACATTCCTTTTCAGTAGTTTTAATTCCAAATAAATCCATGTCATTACTATTACTGTAATATTTTTTTTTCGGAATTTTGGATTGGAATTTTAGAGTTTGTTTTTGAAAATGTAAGACTTTTTTTGAAAGGCTAGAAACTTTTAGGAGTAGCCCTGTTAGGAGTAACCCAGGGCTCTTTAATGACTGTGTTTCTTTGTGTCGTTGTGCTGAGATCGTTGGACAACGATGACTGGAACGACCACTTTGTAACATGGGGTGCCACACTCAGCTGGAAAATCACGAGATTGGACTTCTTTTTATATGATGATTCAAGAACCTGTTAAGTCTGGGAGAGCCTCTTTGAGGTGCCACCCTGATCACCTTTGGTGCTGCAGCGGGTGCTATCATTGCAGGGCCACCATTGCCACATGCCTCGAAAATGTAGCAATCAGAAGTGTTCTGAATTTGCAGAAGCACATTGGACAGAAAATCATGAGCTCCTGATTTGGAATTTTAGAATCCGTCTGTTTCCCGAATTGTAATTGGGCGTGATTAAAAAAACAGCTGTTTTGTTTTAAGCTGCAATGAATCTAATATGACGGATGGGGCTGCTGTTAGCATTCATTTGCTGTCAAGTTGGACAAACTGATGAGGACCAACAAACTTGGTGGCTTGCTTCGCACTTATGGAGGTTGGGATGTACTGAAGAACAAGGTATTTCCATCTTTGGGCATTGTTTCGCAATCAATGGCGATGAATTTCTATAGTCAAGGAGAGATCACGACCCGCATATTTTTTGGCTGAAACATGTCATCTGAACTTGAACACAGAGGCAAGCCTAGCTTGTCGTTACGACAGGGGAACGTCCCAACAATCATCCTTTTTGCATCTCTTTGCCATTTCTGGCGACATGCCCAAGGTAAGAATGGTAAGATTCCTAAATCACAAGCCTGACTTGGCTATTTTACTTCTGCGCACCTAGGACGACGGCCTTGCATCCAAATTGGTGGTGCAGTGTGTGGCTCGACCTGTCCACTTCACATTTTTCATAGTTGCCTCAGTTGCCTTAGTTACCTCCATGAAGAACACTGAAAACGTCGATTTGCTTTCAAGAAGATTGGTCGAACGGCAGGATGGAAGCCGTGTGAGTGTAGACATTTCCATGCATTTGCTGTCGAGTTGAATGTGTCTATGGCATGTTGGGAGCAGAACCGCTTAAATACAAGACAAGTACGGGCAACGTTGCAAGACGGTTGCATACTGCACGGCAACATGAGAGAATTCGGCGACACAGGGGGGAGCCCTAGGAGGCGTTGTCTTTTCATGTCTTTTCCTCTTAATCGCAGTTTAATCGCGGTGTACCCTGGAACCATATTATCTGGAGATAGGGTTAAGTTGCGGACGGCCTCCCCGATGAGTGGCCGTGAACCATTACCCATATGACATGTCCAAAATCTGATTGCAAAGCCATTTGCAAAGCAATTTGAGTTATTGAGACTGAAATGAAATGATAGATTCCACATTGATTCCTTGCCAAGCAAACTTTGTGTCATCCGGCAGCATTTGCTGAGGCCTTGTTGGTTGCCTCATGGCATCCTACGCATCATTTCACAGTCGCTCGTTATTTGCAAAGACGCTGTCATGGTGTCATTTTGCTGCGTCATCCAGTTCTGCTTCGTCATTCTAGTTTTGTTATGTTTTGTTCTTGTGGGTCCTATCGACCTCTTAAGATTTTTGGCACGCGTAGCACAGAAAGACCAAAGAATGTACCTCCTGAAGACTACAGAAAACCAGAAAGCTTCAAATTTTGTTGAGATGAGCGTTGGCCCCAGATGTAATCAAAGATGCGGTGCCTCAAATTATCTTGCTGAATTTCTTGCTGTATCTCAAGGTGTAGAAGAATTCTTTGTTGGACGTTTCGTCACAGGACAAGCGGGCTGAGTAGAGTCCCTTTCCAAATGACAGGGCTTCACTAAGCTGAAAAGCAATGAGGAACCTTCATCCCTTTGCACTGCTGGACTCACAATCACAAGTATGCTGGACCAACGTGCAAAACACGATTTGTTCCTTCAAATCTGCTTATGTTCATATGATGATGTGTTTCAGAAAGGATATTTGACACATTTGACACATTTGACACATTTGACACTGATTGCATCTCAAGATGTCTCAACATGTCTCATCCACATCATCCGCTGATTGCTACGTCCTGCAGGGTTGCGAAGAGCGCACCGTCGCCAGGAATTGGTGTGGGCATCAGCTGCTTCGCCTTGCCACTGTACAACGCAGAGCCACTTGGCCCAACAGGGCCCACCGCTTCTGAATATATATGTTTGAACATGTTTGAACTACCGGAACTTCATCGGAATTTCCGAATTCCTCTATTTCTGTCAATTCAGATGTGTACTATGAAAGTGAAAGATGAAGAAAGGACCCCAAAGGACCGAGAGAGTGTAAGAGTTTGATTTATTCCATATAGTTCTTGAAGGAAACATATAAAACTTGTCGATTCAGAAGGAGGGCTTAGAAACCTGAAGGCGCCTCTGTTGAAGCCTACACATTCACCTCTTCAAAATACCGGCAAAATTTGGAAGATGTGAAATCCTTGTGTTTCCTTACAAGCAGACCATGGTGATTGCTGTACTAGTTCCTCTCCACAGCAGGCAAGTGCACTGCTCTCAAACACTCAGTCATTAAGAAATCTAGTGCAGATGCAGCTTGTTCCTTTGGGCATTTGACTTTGTATATTCCATTGCAATAGAATATGTACCCCATATATATATAGCCTAGCTATATAACAGCGTGTATATATATACACACTATATATATTATTATATATATACAATATGTATATATATACACAATATATATACAATATATATATGTAGATATATTGTACATGAATTGGACTATATCGCAATAGCACTTTCTAGTTGATCTATTTTGATCCCCTTAACTATTTGGGTCTTCTGACCCTTGCCAGGATTTCGACGCCTTCAATACGAGGCAACCGCATCCGGTCGGGCCAAATCTTCGCATGACCCGAAGCTTTCATTTGATGCATGGATGCTGGGAACTTCAAAGGGACCTAAGTGTTGTTGACAATTTGAGACTTCTTGACATTCAGCACGCCTACATTATATAGTAACTGTCCACGGGGTGAAAGCATGTCAAAGCAATGTGGTTTCTCGAATGGACTCTTCCTAGTTGTCACTGTATGTGCAGGAGCTACTGGCTCTTTATTCCAACTGATGCTTGGTGTTCGCAGCGGTTTCTTTGGAAAACGCCGCAATTTCCCAGCTTTAGAAGCCTTTATTCCTCCAATTAAGTGTGCAAAAAGCCATACTGTACTTTGCTAGCCCTTGCTAGCGGCTGTGCACATGTAAATGTGAAGTCCAGGCCCTTGCATTTTGTCAATAGTGTGCAGCTTTGCAAAAGAGTAGCGTAGAACATGGAAACAGAATGAAACAGACTTATATAATCTTATATACTTATATAACATTGACTAACAGCATTGGTTAGTTCCATAATACTTTGGAGTTTGCTCAGGAACGTTGTGGTCGGATGTTTCATTTCTTGCCTGATCACTTTCTTGGACAAGGACCTTTCATGTTTTGTCCTTGTTTCTCTCCATGAGTTAATTAGCCCTCGTATTTGCAGTTGTGGGTCATTGTCCACTTGGAGGTGTCAGTGGTTGTTGGTTGTACTCGCTTGCACATATTTGAATTCATCATGCTTTCCGCAAAGAATCTTCAATATGTTTGCCAGAGATATGCAAGATCTGTAACATTCCGTAGCACGTGACTGTCAGAAGCTACGTCAGGACTGGTATGTTGGCATGCTACTTCCCGGACTGGCAGGTGCCGTGTCCCTTGGCGAAAAAACAGCGCAGCCTGAGCTGACAGAGCCAACTCTTTCTGTGCACTGCGCTGTGTTTGGAGCCGGGATGACACTTGAATGGCATCATCCTGTGCATCCTGTGCATCCTGTGCATCCTGTCTCAAGTTTGGCTCCCAGGCTGACCGTCGGCGGTTTCTTCATCCCAGAATCTCCTCGCTTCGACCCTTGGCTCAAGTCTGTGCTACGCTGGGAATCGGAGAAAAGGAATGTTTCAATGTTTCAATGTTGCAGTCATTAGTCCAGCTGTGTCGGACTGATTTTGATTCCAGGTAATGGAGAAGATGATTCACAAAGAAGGACCCGAGGCTGCCATGAACTCTGGCCTCAGGTCCGGCACAGAGAGAGGATGTGAAGACACATCAAGAAGAGCTGAAAAGACCTTGAGAGGACATGGAACAGATTGGAACAGATTGAAACAGATACTCCAGGTGACAAAGGTTGCCTTTTGGCCAGACACGACCAGACCATAATTTTGAGTGAATCGATTTGTTGACCCTAAAGTATAGTAAGTACTTGTTGTTCTTGATCATGATCTTTGGCGCAAAGCAGTTTCTTGCCGCAGGTATTTGAAGCGCAGCTTGGCAAGGGACAATTGCTTATGATTGGTTAGCGAATATAATGAATGAAACAAGATTGATCAAGTCTGATAGGGCTGCTTGGGGTTTAACTCTTGTCTAAAAGAACACAGTTGCTGAGGTGGATGTCGTCACGTAGAGGACTGAATAGGTGACTAGTTGTGTGGTATCGTATGGTATACTATTGTACGTATTGCGCGTATTGTAGGCCGTTCAAAGATGTTCAAAGTGTGTGGCCTTTGGATTGCCGGTAGACTTTGTTTCGATAGCGTACATTTCGAGCTCCGGGTGCGCCAAGCTTTGAGTCCAGGCATTAGAAGTGGAGACGTGCATCCTGAAGCCAACGAGAACTTTGGCGACGGAAAAGATGAAAATCTGGGACGGACATGGAACATATTGGAACATATTGGAACATATTGGAACATGTGTCAGTTACATGGTTTTCCTTTTCAAAATGTGGCTGCAGCACAGCTTCCTGGAAGGATGGGTGGTAGCCATGGAATGAGGTACAGTAATTAATTACAGTACATGATGAAACCAACATCATTCTTTCAATATGCATTCATTACCATTTATTCATGCAAGTTGGTGTTGGGTCCGCTTTGAAACCAGCATTGCGTGTGAGTTTGCGCCTAAGGATTCTGACACAGATCAAGGAGGAGATGGACATTGAGCACGTGAGTTTCCTTGGCCTCTTCAAAGAGCGCCACTTGGCCCAGGAAGAAACTGATCATGACACGGTTTCACTGAAAGTTTGAGTATGTTTAATGAGTTTAATTTAAATGTTTCTTTGTTTATTTTTTGCCTCTCACCTCTTCTCAAATCTTCTCACATCTTCTCGACTCGTCTCAACATGTCTCAACTCTTCTCAAACCTTCACACCTCTTCTCATCCTACGTTTCAATGCTGTAGAATTCTTGGATGATATGTGTATTCTATTGTATTCTGGTTTCAGTTTGTTTTTGTTTAATTGGAACAAAGGTTGTATAAAGTCTCGTCGAAGTAGAGCGGAAGGTTGGAACAGCGGCTGCTTGTGTGCACATACGCAGGCTGAGTACACCCAGGTAACCTGCGGAAGCGCGTCCTCATTGCTTGCCGCTGGTCACAGATTGTCACAGAGCATTCCACAGAAGCGGAAAAACATGGAAAAACAAACCAAGAAGCTGTTCCTTTGTCAGATTGTCACAGACAAACACAAGGAGGACCCAAAGCTTTGGGAGGGTTATGACGGTTATGATCCAAGGCACCTTGGTAGTTGGCCAGCAAGCCACTGGCGTGAACGCTTTCTTGGGTTATGCAGCTACACTTTTCAAAGAGATCCTTGGCGGATCATATTTTTCGATCCTTGAAACTTGCGGAAAATTCGCCCGACACTGATCAAAGGTCAGGAGGCCATAGGAGGCCTTGTGATCCTGTGCTTTGCATTGCTTTGCAAGGTGTGGCATTGAGAACCCCATCCTCTTCAACTCGGTCTTCAATAGTGTTGCCCAGCAGCACGTGGACAGAGTCGTGGTTTGCGACAGTTCATTTTACACATAAATCGCTAGCAAGCAGGTACAGTATATCGGGGCCAGTTTGGAAGCCTAGTGGCAAGACTCTGCAAGTAATTGATTCATTTTTCCATGCACGTTTTCTCAATCAAGATGGGGCCAGAAGGAATAGAGACAGCGCCAGTAGAAATTCAGTTCAATGTATCAATTGCTATCAACATACCCCGACAAATCGATACATGTCAATGCGTATCATTTGCCAAGATACTTTACCACAAGGATCACAAGTCAGATATACTAAGATCATGATCTTTGGCTGTGTCGCCGGACTGCTTCTGGTTGACTCCAAATATGGTGGCCGTCGATGCCAGCTTTTGGTGGTTGGCAGCTGAGTCCATGACCCATGAGATTTTGCCCAGCGAACATCAGTTTAGACCATTTGGACCATTTGGACCATTTGGACAGTGCTTTTTGAATCGGCATGGACGTCAAACTCGAAACAACTTCTTCAGCATATATAGGCTTTCTCATGCTTTCTCTTTGTATCCATTGCATTGATGATTGATGCATGAACTTCTGATTCTGTCACAATAAGCTTGTCATGCTGCCCTTTACAAACAAGTTTTGCATAGTTTTGCCATGCCAAGGATCAAACAAGCTTTGACCCAAACTTATCCTTGCCTGAACCGAGCCAAAAGCACGGATGCCACAGGCGACTGCAATGATGGGCCCTCCATTGGTCGTGGCTGGACTTGTCCGGCTGCCCAGTCGCCAAAAAGGATCTTTCGACAGCTACTTAGACAGCTGTACTGTACTTGTAATTTCTTGGAATTTCTTGTAATTTCTTGTAATTTCTTGTAGCATTGTGCACGACCCTTTACATAAATAGTTGCCAACTATGCTGTGTCATGCTGACGACAAATTCCATTTTTCTTGAGGATGGGACAGGCTAGAGAAATACCTTGGCAGACACTATGAATAGTGTGACAAAACCCGTAGGCTTGTGGGAGATGGATGGAGATGGTATGGGCACAGCGTGGAAAACTCTCACTCTTCCTGAGGCATTGCAATTCCAATGGCCAGGCGGGACCATGCTCATTTCTGGACTTGGATTTAAAAATACCAAAAATCTTGCGCAAAGGTGTTGCGAAATGTTGTGAAACTCAAAGCCGGTCTTCCATCCACTGTTTTGCTTGCACGAATATTGTCATTGTATCTTAGTCTTTCTTGGTGATGCTGTCTACAGTCCACAGATAGTGTTTGGTCGGGTATGGACGTCATGGTGCTATGGACTTCAGCCACCTGCCTTCTAGAGCAAAAGTTGAACATTGAAATTATCCCAGTGAATTGTTTGGTTGCTAAAGTGTTCAAAATCAGGATTTTCTGAATAAAAGGGTAGAGTTTTCTATGTTTTCTTGTATACCTTTGCTCATACCCTGTATACCTGTGCTATCCTGTGCTCGCCAGGGATCATCACCATGGTGACTGTGATCATCTACGGTGTGGGCTTCCAGTTTGCATGGGGAACCATCCCTTGGATCTACCCAGCCGTTCCTCGGATTCAACTGGGTCATGGTGTATTCATTGTGTCACCTTCCCAGCCTGATAGTGCTCAGCGCCTCAGCATGCCTCAGCATGCCTCAGCGCTGCAAGCATGAAGGACTTTCAAATCTAGTGGCATTTGATCTCAGTTCTCGTCTAACACGACTTGGACTCATGCCTCATCAGGAAATCTTCTCTATGGCAGAAAAGGCACCTTGGGCTTAAATGAAACGACAACAGCAAGGGATACGTGCAGAAACCAATGTACTGAGAAAAGATGAGTCAAGATTTGAAACATGTTAAAGTAGATCAGCTCTACAGCTGTTGGAGTCTGGAAAAGTGCTTGGGAAGAAAACGCTACATAGTAACTGCAGATGCCACTGATTTTTCCATTCACAGGTCACTGCAATCATTAATGAAGTAGGGTTCGTCAGATGACTTGTATGCAAAGTTTGTCAGTATGTTGCAGTACTTTGTAGCACTTGGGGGAAATGCTTTCATCCAACTCGTTGAGCATCGACAGTTGTGCACACATTGAACACGGCTGAGCCAAAAGGGTTTGAGGCCTCCGTTTGTGTGCTAAGGAATCCGCAGTGTCCCTAGCTGTGGGGGTCAACTACGTGGCAAATGTCAAGAGCTTAGACGTCAGGAAACAGAAAGCACATGATACCTCCAGAGCGTGGTCTTGTGCCACAATGTGCCACACTAGTAGGAGAAACTTTGCAAAAACTTGAAGAGGACTCAAGTAGACAGAGATGATTGAGATGCCGGAGATCAAAATAAAGCAACAGAAGAACAACTTCACAACTTCAATTTGAGCCGGCAAAGACCTGCCATAATTCTAAAAGAGGTCAGGTACAGCAAAACATAGCAAAACCAAGAGGTAGAGATATGAGAGATGCTAGGAGGGCTATGACAGAGCCTTTGCCAATTGTTTTGTTTTGATGCCATCTGTATCATTTGCTAGTGACGTGGTCTCTGAGGCCGCCATCATCTACATCACACCCACACTGATGAAACCTGGAAGCATTGCATGTCCGACAGAACAGCCCGGTTGATCAAATTCAGCAGCCTGGTAGCTGTAGAAGCAGTAAAGTGTTTGTGATGACAAAGCTTGCAGATGCATAGGCGGCCTACATAGGAGAGAAGATTTGAAGGCAATGCCATACCTGCTTACCCAATTTGAAAGCATTGCTTTGCGTACTCTAGACTCCAGACCAAAAAAAACGCTACTTTGGTTTGAATATTTTGAATGAGATCTGTGCTGTGCTGTGACCGAGGAAGTGGTCAACTCCAGGAACATTGCTATTCTTTGGGGCCTTGAACGTTCTGTGCCTTGCCCAAAATTGCCCGCGGCATTACGGCTCAGGGCGGGGTTTGTTGTTCTCCATGTCTCCCACTCACATTTTTTGTTCCCGGCACTTGCGAAAGGGTCCTTCCAAAGAGCGGCTGCAAGCGTACATTGTCGTCGTTGTCCTCCTCCTCCTCATCATCATCATCCTCCTCATCATCGTCACCGTCATCGTCATCGTCATCTTCATCATCGTCATCGTCTTCTTCATCATCGTCATCTTCATCTTCATCATGTTCATCGTCATCGTCATCATCTTCTTCATCATCATCATCATCGTCGTCGTCGTAGTCGTCATCGTCATCATCATTTTCGTCATCGTCATCGTCATTGCATCTTCATCATCTTCATCTTCATCGTCATCATCATCACCACCATCATCATGATCAGCAGCAGCATCAGCAACATCAGCAACAATACACTAAACCTATGTTTTCAATTTTGTGATTCTAAGACCATCGTCACCACCATCACCACCACCACCACCACAACAACAACAACACCATCAGCAGCATCATCATCAACATCAACGCATCTACAACTTCATAATATCTGTGCACTTGCAACTTTCAAGGCAGGTGGACAGAATCTTCCGTTGGATTGATATTTTTCTGGGTACACCTACGGTATGCCCAGGTGTAAAGATGCAGTGTATCAGGCATCACCAACTTTACACTGCAGGTGACATGCAGGTGTAAAAATGCAATTGCATGGATGTAGCTGTTTAAGACACAGCTTTGTATCTGCAGGTGACATTCGGCTGTATAGATGCGGGATGATGCGGGTCTATTAGGCACCTAACCTACAACTTTAAGATATGAAGGCGAAACGAAGCACATGGGTGACGAATATGTTACCATAACAATCCATAACACATGCTAACACTGCCATCCCTGCTCGCCTGGGCTTTCGGTCCAACCAGGTGGCTTTGCAAAGGTTTTTTGATTTAGCCCAATCCTACATAGCAGGAACTCGGCTTGGCTCAGCAAAAGGTCCAGCGACATTGCGGCTGGAGCTTACCATTGGTCAAATGAACTCTGCCCGCAGGCATCATTTGAATTTGCCTTGCAGGTCAGTTGTATGGACTTTTTGGCGACACACATCAAGCCTTAAAAACCTAGCTCCGCGCGCGGTGTTTTGTTTTGATTTCTTGCAAATAAGGATGACTAAGCATGACTAAGCAAGGGGCCGCATCGAAAGCCAGGCGTGACTAATTGAGCTGAGCATTCCCCTGAACGCGTAACGAAGAGTTCTTCTTTGCATCTGGGGGGCCTGGGCTGGAGGTGTGTTCGCCCGCGGGTGCTCAACCGATCGCAACTGTCCGCACTCATCCGAGATGAAGGCTCTATGGCCGTACCTTGCTGCGGCTGCTACAAAACGCATTGCTCTTAGAATCTTGAAAGTTTGGAAAAGACGTGCAACAGCGTTTTGTGTGGCAGTCGTGGCGTTCCGTGAAATTTCGACGTGTTCGATAAAGTCTCGTAAAGTGATTTTGCGTGACAGGCCCAAGGCTTGAAAACGGTTTTCTGAAGATGAAGTGGATTTTTCGTGGCCGGCGCGGCACTTGGGAGATGTTCATGCCCATAGTTCGTGGCAGGCGCCGTGCTTTAGACGAGTGGTGGTGCATGTTTCTTTCCTGTGAAGTGCATGGCGGAGTTGCGTCAAGCCGTGCAAATATCACGGCAGGTTTGTTACAATAAATTGCGGCATGCCACATGAGAATTAGCGGAATCTTCACACAACATTTTCAGTTTAAGGTAGCAATACTGAGATGCATGGTGTTCATGTTGGAATTTCAGAGAAAAGCATCTGCGACTGTGAAAAAAGCGTTTGGCAGACAAATGTTTGCGTGTAAATGTTCTTTTATGAAAAACGATATTCAATATTTGCTTGAAAGGTGCGTATGTTCAAGATGTTTGTGTGTAAAACCGTTTGTGTGTGAACGCCTTTGTGTGTAAAAGTATCTTTGTATTTGAAGCATATGTGCAAAGCCTCTGTGCAGAAAAAATCGCGTAAAACTGCCTGTGTGTAAAGATGTTTTTTTGCTTCAAAGGTTTTATATGAGAAAAAATATGTTTAGAACAGCTTTTGTGCAAAAATGTTTGTGTTTATTTTTTGTGTATATACAGTGTTTAAGAAATTGCGCCTAAAGTAGAACAGCGCATGTGTTTTTTCCCACCAATGTGCTGTTTGGGAAAAAATGGTGTATGCGTAAACTGTTGAGGTTGCCACTAATTTCATTATGTGGCAGACCCTTCATCATCACCATCCTCATAATTATCATCACACCATCATCATGGCACTATCACTATCCATCATTATCCTCATCATCATTTCGTCATAGGTAGTGTTTTGTGGAAAGAACCCTTCGCATGTGCGATTTCTTTGCAAAACACATTGGTGTTCGCGTGCGAAAGGTCCACACAGTCGTCTAGTTTGTGTATTCATAGTTCCCTGTTGCATGCACAAGGTCATATGGACATGTGAGAAAATGAACATATAGGGTTTTGGGAAATGTGGAAATTGTCACATCATGTGCTATTTAAGGAACGCAATCTTTGTCCTCGTATACATCAAGGACTTGGTCCCCGGAAGTGTTTGGAAGTATTGTTGAGTTCTTCAGCATTCAGAGTTGGACTTCACAGCCCAGACGTGACTCAAGCGATGTGATCTAACAACGTAGGCGACATTTCAAGTCTCAGGAGACCAAAGGTGTTGCGTTGGAGCACATCCCAGATCTTTTCCGCCGGCACAAGGCTTTGGCTGGGGAGGACTGATGCACACATTTTTGCAACATGAGCAACATGGTTGTGATGCTTAATTAGTTTTGGAAACAGTTTGATGGCAGAGGGACATTGCTAGTCGATGGGTTTGTCAGGCCTGGTTTGATTGGTTTGTCAGCCTGTGTGCAGCCGATAGCATGTCATGCAAATGTTTTACATATGTGAAAATCCAACAAATATCAACAAATTCACCGTTTTTTACATTTTAACCTTGGCACACTGGAACACATGAAACTGCAGAAATAGTGCCGTTCACAATTGTTTATACAACATGTGTACACAAACACACTATCATAGTGTATAAATGCATATTCTGCCAACCAGTGTCGTGTTTGTTCCTATCTGATATCTGTATGAGTGTTCTCGCTTCAATAGAAAACTCAAGAGATTGCTAGGGGTTGAATGAGTTAAATTTTCTGTTTGGGACAATTCCTTGAAAGTGGTATCATGTCCAGACAGGTTTCTCTCAATTGTTCCTTTCTGGCAAACAGAGACATGCCATGCCCACGCAGTTTCATCTGACTTTGGTCAGACTTGCGCTTGGATGTAGTTTCTGTAGTTTTTGAGCCAGGACTCCTCCTCTGACTCAGACCTGAGCACATCAGCATCGGAGTTCTGAGGGTGCACAATGATGCACGTTCTGATGCGCAAGGGTCAGAGGGAAGGCCGAATGTGTCTCCCTGTTTCCCACCGCGGCACGGAAACCTTTGCTGCAACTGCAACCGCCGAAGAGATCCAAAGACACATTGTGTACAGTAGAAACAAATAGAATATGAATGAATATGAATAGATATAAATAGATATACATAGAATAGAATAAAGAATAATGAAAAATGATCAAGATGGAAAACACTGGAGAGCTATGAGAGAAGTGTTTGATAGAAGACTATAGTTTTGTGCGCGCATCCACCAGGTCTTGCTGTTGGACTGGCGACTGGCTGGGATTCGCGTACTTCTTTTCTGGTAAGTTCCTGTGAGGAGTTCCTGTGAGACTGTGCCATTTTTCACGAGGTGATCGAAAAACTGGTTGACCTCCAACCTCCAGACAAGTGCCTGCTGTGTCTGCTGTGTCTGCTGTTTCTCTGTCTTCTCAACGTGAGATCTACAGGAAATTCACTCGTTTCGAACTCGGAGACTTTGAATATGCTGGAAGCCACTTAACAAGTCTTCTATACGGATTTTCTTCACTTTTTGCCAAGTATTGTCATGCTGCATGTCAGATATGTCAGAGTTTTGCTTTCAACGATGAACTTGGGTGTCGCAATTGTGGGTCATGCCATCCATTCAGGAAATCCTTTCGCTCTTGATCCAATCTGTGTAGAATCCAATGCGGGCACTGTGAAGCAGAGGTCAGAGACAATGAGACATCATATAGACGGCGCTTGCTGGAGGGATTGTTTCCAGTAGGTGACGAGGTTTCAAAGCAGCGTCCGCGGTACGAGATTCAACTTGCTTTGCTGTGGAAAGAAGATGAAAGAAGATGAAAGAAATGTCAAGCGTAGTGGGAGCAGGAGACTTGTTTCCAAGCCGGTGGATTGATCTAAAGCTCTCCGGTTTGCACAGCGCATCTTGGATGTGTCAAACCTTCGTTGTCCAAATCATTCTCAAAGCGATCCGAATGTCCATGAGTTTCTTTGTGCTATATATAATAACTGTCACAAATTGTCACAGGTACTTCCGATGAAGTTGCCAGAATGTAAGAGTAGAAATATCATGCCTATCAAAAGATTGGGTTGAAAAGAGATCTATCATCCCTTATTATATCATCTATATCAACATTGCCATCCTTGCAGAGCACCCACACTCAAACCTAATAAATGTGGCAAACTTTCAAGAAACTCCGAACATCGCGGAGCATCGTGGAGCATTGCAGAGCGCTGAGGCTCTTCTGGGTGGGTTGATGATCATCATCGTTTGGAATCTCCATCCTCCACAGCCCAGTCATCGCGAGGCGGGGCACGTGGCACCCCGCGTGGCACGGCCAATGACAATCACACAATCAACATCAATCAACCGGGTCAATTTGTTGCAAGTACCAATGAGAAGTATCGACAAGTAAATGAGAGTATCCTGTCCGTCCTTTTTCAGAGCGGTCCGTCTCAACGGAATGCTTTTGGAACCAATTTGTGGTATGAGTGGAGGCATATATTGGATGTTGGATATACTTATTGGATTATGTTGTAGCTGATCGATTTCAGTCCAGCCGCGGAATCACCTTGCATGTTCCAAAGGTTGGATGTGACCACCTTGGGAGGTTGAATTTCCAGATGTTACAATTCGGTGCAGAAAGGCATGTGACTGACAGAATTGAATACAATTGAGTCATCAACTATCTACAACCACGCAAAACACTAGCAGACGTTGACACACCTAGCAGTCCATCATCCATTTGATTTGATCCTTGCAGATGCCCGACAGCTTTAGCGATGCCAAGCGGCGGAGAGGACTCTTGGCAGGTTCCATTCATGCAGATCCACCAAATCTGTGAATCGAGTGAATCATCAGAATACAGATGTTTGTATTGGCTTGCTATTGGCTTGCTATTGGCTTGCTATGGTTTTGCGATGTCTGGTGAGTTGTGTGCTAATTTGACGAGCTGTGAGATGCTCAAAGAGCGCATCTCTACGTGGTGCCATTCGGAGGTGCATTCGTCATGATCGGTCTAGTTTTAGTCGTCGTGCCCGCTACCTCAGTTCTTTCTGGCAAAATCTTGTGTAAAATATTGGCAAAACATGGAAAAGACAACGTATGCTCTCTTGCAGACTCTTGCATATTTGACACGTACCAGATTTCTAGGAACATGAAGCATCATAGTTGGTCTTGTCCCCTTAAGAAAGGCTGCTTGAACCACTGCGGCGCTCCCATCTCCCACCGAGGTTTGGTGTTCTTGGCATGGAGTGTTTGCCTTCCATGTTTGTTTTAAAGTCTTTCCCTGAGCCATGAGCATATAATCGAAGTTTGGTGCCTCCTTGGACACGTGTGAACAGACTTTCTTGATCTTCGTTCATCTTTTTTCAGGAGTCAACTGACTTCACTGGCGGACAGCATCGACATGTATCAGTGCAGCATTTTTAATGTGCTTTATGTGCTTTAAGCGCACGGTGCTTTCTGGCACTGTCCATTCTCTTTGTCCGGCGCATGGATCGTTAGAGTTGGTGGCCCTGGTGGCTTTGATTCGGCCAGGCCCATGGGAGCCAGAAGTGGAACGCCCAGCGCAGGTGAGGATTTCTGTGTCTCCAATGCTCTTGGTCTCCGTATATCTCCGTATTATATAACATTATATATATAACTCTGTTTCAGTGGAAACAGAGCACCACATCTACCGGCAACGTGAAACTTTGGAAAGATTGAGCTCCTTGATTACCACAATTTCCAGCACACTCCTGCAGATGACCTCACTTTCACATACTTTCACTTCATGTCCCTTCGGACCTGGTGGCTGAGTTGATTTCTGCAGGTCAGTGATTTGGGGATCGGCAACGAGACGGACGACACCAACAACAGTGATGCAGGCAGGGTCAAGCCACGCACTTTGAACTTTTGACATCTGCCTGGCTTCATCTTATTTAATCAGCAAGTGTTGCACCCAAGCTCGCACCCAAGTTTCCAAATCCAAATCAGTTGTCAGGTCGACAATTGCAGGCCAACAACAGCAACAACACCGACAACCAAACGATGGAGGCTACATACCCGTGGTATGAGTCAAGAATAGTCAAAAGTGTCAAGATATGCCAAGATCAATGTTTAACTTTGATTTGTGATGGAGCATTCTAGGAGGGTATCCGGGGATCCCATCTGAAACAAAATGGTATGGAATCTGGCTGTCTTGGGGGGCAACCTCTCTTCTAAATCTACATTGTTGACAGTTCCAGAAAAGCACTAAAGTGTTGCATACAGTGAGTATTTCTCCTGATGGGTTACATAGATCGAAACATGACTCAAAAAATGAAAAGGCATGTGCTCTTATCATTTGAATTTGGTCCCGATGTGTGCCATGATTATCACAGCATATTACAGTTTTCGCAAATTTGAAACGATGCATACTGTTGTTTCACTGTGACTTAGCAAACTTGGGAGTTGGAAGGCACAATTTTGAATCCTAGCCCAGAAGGTGTTGTGCTACAGATGGACTTTGGATTTGCCAGCTGTCACATGCTTCACTGATTCACGTAGAAAAGGCAGTATGAAAACAGCAATTAGTTTGGGTTCAAAGGCCAAAAAGTCTTCTAGACTAACATTCGACCATGCAGGCCTAAAGCAGAGCAGCATATGTTGAGATTTCAGGTGATTGACGGTTGACAGTTGAAGATGCAACGGCATGCGGCAGCTCTGTCAGCACGGTCCAGGTGACCACGACACAGTCTCCACTTTTCGTGAACTTCACCGATGACGAAATTCGCACAGCACAGGCAGTGCGCGATGCGAGCGATGCGAGGATGTAGCTGGGGATCACCGAGACTCGAAGCATCTCGAAGCATCTCGAAGCATCTCGAAGCATCTCGAAGCTGTCGTACTCGAATGTACTCGATAGTCGATGAGTCTCACCGGAAGACTGAACCAGGGGAAGTCCCAGGGGAAACCGGGAAGTCTGGATCTTTGCAACGGCTTTCAGAGGCGGTGCTGTACACTCTGCATGGGGATTTCACAGGGAAGTCTTGGCCTCAGGAGGTCAAGAATTTGGGCAAAGGTGTAGGCCCGTAGGCTGTTTCTAGATGTTAGGACGGGTTGACTCCTGAGATTGTCTCTAGGCTATTGGATCACAGGGATACAGTACAGGGGTCCAAGATGGTCCAAGTCCATGTTGAGAACTCCACAGGGAGTTAGGCGTTGCAAAGCGTTGCAAAGCGTTGCAAAGCTCTCAAAGCCGAGTCAGCCAAGGTGTATTTACCCAACAGGAGAAGAACCCATGTCTCATTCAGTGGATGCTCTTGGGAGTGATTGTGACTTGGCCTGACGTCCTGACATGTCCTGACATGTCCTGACGTTCCCCATTTGAATTATGTTGATGTCAAGTTGATGTTGATAACACGTTCAATTGTGGTTCTACTGTTACTTTTAATATCTTATAATCGCTAAAAATCTAGACATGTTAAGACGTTTTAAGACGTCTTAAGATGAAAGCTGTTTAAATCACCTTTTCTCAGCTTGGAACATGGCAGGAACATGACCAGAGGTGTTGATTCACAAAGGTTGTGACAGTGTGCGGAAGAGTGTCTCCAATGCTTCACTGCAAGACTGGCAAGACTCAAAATAAATTTGAAATTGATCCGTTTGAATATGAGTCAGACTATATCAGACTGTGTAAGACTATAAAATGCACTCCTCATTGCTCCTGCGAATTCTGAGGTCAGCTGCTTTGCTCTTTACATGAAGATTGCAGCCTGGCAGAACATCTCTTTGATGTCGGGATATGTCAGGTGTCAGGATAGGACTTCATATCGCGGCATTCTGTTGTCGAGTATCTGCTCTGCGAATGTTGGGAGGTCAAATAGTTTCCTCATGTTTCCTCCATTTCTTCAACATTGTCATTGTCACTATGACAGCTGTTGCTCAGGCACTGCATACAGCCAAGACAAGGAGTTGGAAACTTGTCTCCATTGGAAAACGAGCCTCGGTTGCATTGCAGCCACAAGTATCCACAAGTCAAATTTGGAGTATCAATCTTGTCTGGTGAAGGGTAAACCGAGCACCTTCGACCATATTGATGTCACGAAGCATTTGTAAAACAAGGCGCATTTGTTCCTTCATACCTTGGAAGAATCGCGTACAGGGATACCCCTTTGAGAATGGTTCGAACATGGGTGCCAAAGACCCAAATTCTAGTACTAGAGTGTACTCTACCGTGTAACATATCATGGGATTTGTAAAATCACATCACTGATGTTCAATGATTCTTAGGAGCCCCATGTTCAGTTTCAAGCAATGGCTGCCAGGCATGGCTCAGTGCCATCCGTCAATAAATGTCTACCTTTTGACACGTTGTCGTGATGAACTCGCCAGGACTGGGCTTACAGGCCATGGCAACGGAGGTGGCTTTTGGAGCTGTGTCACAAAGCAACAGGCCGGACCCCACACATGGCCAGACTGAGATTCCTCAGACGCCAGCGAACTAGGTACCAGGCCGTTGATGGCTTTTATTGGCTCATGCTGACCTTCTGTATCTTTGAATGAACATGAATGAACCATGATAGGATATGATAGGTAGATATGGGCAGAGCATGGCAGAGCAAAGGTTAAAAATGAAGCTCTGACGCCAGTAGAGCACCGGGCCGTATGACTGGGATTTCTCAACAGACGGCTATGTACACAGTATAGGACCATATATTAGCATTTATAGGTACATTTATAGGACCATAATGACATATAGGACCATATAGGTACATTTATGATCATTTATGTACATTGTATTAGCACATATTAGACTAATACAGCAACAGACGCCCACGTGACACGCCCGGCCGCAGTGCCATCGCTTCCTTGTTGTCTCCAGGTCTATGCACCTCGCGAGTGTGCGCCTACGGACATTGTAGTGGCGGAAGCCTGAGGTACTGCATAGTGCATATCTGCATATAGTACTGTGCAAACACAAAACGTTGTGCAAACGTTGTGCCTTGTACATCAAATGCTTTGAATAGATGATATTTTTGCTTGTTCTGATGCTCGTTGATTCCAAAGATTTCTTAACATCTCACCATTTGTGAATCAACTTTGAAAGAAACACGAAACAGGAACTGCCACGGAAAAGGCCCGAACCCAGCGTAAGATGAGGTGGATGGCCGCATCATTGAGGCTGGACCCCAGGCGGGAACCCAAGTGGCTTTTGGTATTGGAGGGATCTGAAATTTACCATCTTAAAATGTCTTAAAAGTCTTAAAGGATGAACTTTGTTTTGTTTGTCCCATTTTGTTCCCCTTTCTTTTTGTCTCCATATTCTGCCTTTTGCTTTCTTCTTTTGATATGAATATCATGACAGCATGGTCCAATGGCATTACTCTTGCTCCAGTGGCAAACATGGTCAAGCAATGTCAAGCATGTCGTTTCTCTTTGCCCATCTCAAAAGGATTCATCCTGGCTCGGTAGGTGCGGTGTGGTTGCTCTGGTGCTTTTGATCGTGGACTATGGGGTCCTGTGCGGCTTGGTTAAATAAATGGATTTGCACGTGCCGTTGTAAAATGTTGCGACATGGCAAGTTTGGAAGCACATCATTTTGCTGTTGGACTGGCAATATGAGTAGACTATCATATTCATGTTTTTGGATGCTTTTGGTGACTGCGCAACGCTATTGGCAGCACTCCATAAGGTCTGCCACTGCAGAACAGATTGCCAGTGTGTATTACCGGCATGCTTAGCACTCCAGTCTGAACCAGAAGACTCGATTTTGAATTATATACGTTCTACTCATTCTACTCCTTGCCTTCCGGTCAACTTGCCCTTGCGTTGCTGATGTGAAGCACTTTTCACGCCTCACTTTAATGCACAAATCAATTTGCAGATACAGTGCGAGCTTTGAGAGCGCAAGATATGGCAAGATATTCTCAGGTATGCTAGATATTTGAGAGCGCAGTCTTTCTCCAAGGTATTTGTGTGTAGGTCCATCTAGCATGTACCATTTCTGCACATTGAGTTGAATTATCATTGTTATTTGTTGAATTATGGTTGCCATGATCACTGTCATCATGATTAATTATGATACTTGTGGCGGTACAGATGATTACTTATGACTTGTGTCGGTATCGTATCACTTTTTGCCTTTTGATATTTAATTATATCGATTTATATGAGTGTTCTTTGTGTATGGTGCAGATATGTACAGACTAAGATTTAGCTCTATTTTTAAAGAAGTGAACACATGTGCATTGGATATATCTAGAGTTCTCCAAAAAACCGCCGCCACTCTTGAGCCACGCGTTAGATTATTATTGACGTTTTTGTACGACAGAGTCCCAGAGTTCCGATTCGACAGTTGGTGCAGCATTGGCATGGCAGCTTCATTTATGTCGGAGCCTCGGAGAGCTGCTTAGCTTTGTCGAAAAGACTGTTAGACATGATGTTTCAGTAGTTCTCGTTTTCTCATGCTTCCCGCGGTCGTCCGGTTACTCTTCATGCAGGTGTGAAAGCTAAAATCGGTAGTTGATTTGTGTCTCCCATCCCTCAGTCAGTCCTGATTCAATTTGTCCCCACATTCAGCGATTCAGTGCTTTCTGTTGTGTTTCTCCAGTCCTGATCTGGTTCTACATTCTTTGTGAGCTTCAGGTTTGGTCTTGTGGGTTTCCTCGTTCACAGCTTCGCCTGTTCAATGGCAGTAGGGAACTCAGGCTATGCTGCGGAAAGAAAACTGGATTTGACTCAGATAGTGTCAGAGGACTCTCAAAGAGGCCTGATTTTGCGATCTAGTGAACATGAATAAAATTCCTAAAACACTGGCAGGACATGACAGGTAACATGTGACGTGCACCTTACTTACTGTATATACTGTATATATTGATATTGCAAAAATCATCGTGAATCAAATGTAAATCTCCCATCTATGGCTGATATCAACTTGGACTGCGTACGGGGACGGTTTTGGCTGCTCTTGCACATGGAAAAGCAGCCAAGTCATAACATAGTTTTCCTCTTGTTCCTAGCCTCTCAGAAGATAAAGATTGCACAGTAGAATCCCACAAAGATAGCTGTTGAAGGACCTCATGAAATAGTGCTTTGATGTGTGTTGTTTCATGGTTAAAATCTGGCTGCAGGGTCCGTAGTCCACTGAGTGTCATCCATGTCGTTGAGCCCTGAGGTGGAACACTGCACTGCAAGCCAGCACAGGGTTGGATCCTATCGGAGGATGAGTTGCTGATGGTATGCGATGGCATTTCGATGGTATGGAAATACAAACATCATAAGGAGTCTATGGAAATCTCATGAGGTATCCATAAGCATCTATTCTTTGCATGTGTTTGCAATATCATATACAGTAGATTGCAATCACTCAACGGTAGACGTCGCTTCGACCGTGAAATGAATCAAAGGAGGGCGTAGAGGGGTAGAGTGAGAGTGACACAGTGATGAAGGTGATCACAGTGTCACTTCTGTGGTGCGATGTGGTGCGTGTCACTTCTGATTCACCCTCAAGGTCACACTGCGAAGCCTGGTCACGCGACAGGCAAAGTTCTTAGTTTGAGCACAGGAGTCTCTACTCCAGAGCTTTGTGAAGCAGGTCTTTGTTTGGTTTGCCTTGGTTTGCCTTGGTTTGCCTTGTTTTTTTCTGGGTAAAATTTCGAAACTGTGAGACTTCATGGCAACTTCAAACGAACATGGCGCATATGGCAATGAGCTGGATCAGCCAGGTGCGGCCAATTGACGATGGAGAAGGTGCTCAGATGTCAGATGTTGTCAGATGTTGTCAGATGTTGTCAGATGTTGTCAGATGCCGGTTAAACATGGTTAAACATGGTTAAACATGGTTACGGCTAGTTGCGAACTTACAATGGTGCGGTGCTCACCACCATGCCATTCTGACATATTGAAATTCTGCCCGGGATGCCCAAAACGGCAGGTGAGGTCAAAAACCACCAGTCCATGGTTGCTTGGACTGAGGCTGTCAAGGGTTGCACTGTTGGCAGCGAATGCACCGAATGTATAGTGATTATTAGTGATTTGTTCTCAGCAAAAGCCGGGATCACATGGGACCCAAATGGCAAGTTGCACAAAGTGTGAGAAGTCTAAACTAAATCAAACTACTGAACATGCTGAACAGATTCATAGAGATTCTTTAGAGTTTGTTCAGAAACGGGAAATGCAAGTGTTTCGCTTTTCGGTCTTTTCGTCTGCCAGGCTCCGCGGGACGACAATCCCAAACCAGTGGCGCAATTTGGTGCGCGACGGGGAAGTTGGGGAAGTTGGGGAAGTTGGCAGAGATTACTGAGACGTGAGTCACATGAGGTCCAGACCAGATTTGGAGCGTTTGGATGGGGTCAGTGTATGTCAGATATGTCAGTGTCACAAGAGTCACTGGAGTCACCGGAGCGTATTGAGGAAAGGCTCGGCAGCTAGCATTCTTTTTGATAAAGTAAGGTTTGGCAAGGCTTTGAAAGCTCAGAACTTGTTTGGAAGCGTGTTTGCATCAACATTGTCACTACGTAGACACCATGTGGATATGTGGGTGGACACTATATCATGAGGGATTGTGGTGTCTTGTGAGTTTGGATTGGAGGTACCAACCGCATGTTTAGTGTTTGACGCAGAGGCTCGCATGTCTTGTGTCGTGTACGCAATTTTGGAATGTCTACGAACTTATATTGTGAACTTTTACGGTCTGTCAGATCTTCCAAACAGATCCAAACAGGTCCTCCCATTCACCATTTCTCGCTCTTCACAGTTTTCATATGTTTTCATACATTATGATTCAAAGACCTTGAATTAGGCTTTCTGAGGACAGCGATGTCCTGGACTCCCGCTTGATGGCGCCTTAAAGGCTAGCCTTGTACAGCAAACCGATGCGCTTTCTGCAAACAAAGATGTTACGTGGTGACGAAGTGATACAAATTGATGCAAATATAATCAAATATATGCAAATTACAATAATTGATGCACAGTGGTTCTGTGTACCAACTGTATCAGTTTGAACGGCGAAGCAGAGCTTGTTAGCAGATGCATGGGTCATAGACAACATATGAACCCTGCTGTGAGCGGCGGTGCGAATTCTTTGATGCTGCACGAATCATTGTAGAGGTCTCAGAAACCAAACCTTTCGAATCCGTTTCGTTTTTCGTTTTAATGTCCAGCAGATGGATTGATGATGATTGATGATTTCTTGCTTCGTAGATTGTAAGAGTTGGGAAGGCCGGGAAGGTCATGTAGCCTGACCAAATGCAACAAGGATTGTGTGCTGCGCATGTTCCCCGTGCTTCGCCTGTAGCAACTGTGCCCTGGCACTTCACCCAGCGCCTCTTTAAGAGAGCAGCGGTGAACAAAAATGTGGGATATGGGAAGTTCAGCGGAACGTAATTAAATGTAATCAGATGTAATTAGATGTAATTAGATGCAATATTCATCAATTAGTATGGTTTGTTATGGTTTGTATATTGGCGTATGGCTTGGCAATGGTTGGCATCGTTTGTTGAATGATTCCTCAAGGGCCCTTGAAGCACTTGCTACATGACAAGGCCTTTGCCTATTTCGCACAGAAAGACCGGTCCGATTGAATCATGCTTCATCGTGCTTGATCACTGTTGCAAGCTGATTCGGCAGGTTCAACAGCCAAGTCTGCCTGTGGTAACAATGGTAAAGTCCTGCCCCTTGCAGCTTCTGTACCTTAAGAAGAGAATGAAGCCCAGACACAAAGTCTAGCAAGGCTATGCAAGAGCTCAAGACAGCGCGAAGCTAAAATGTTACTGTCATGTAGTCATTTCCCAACCAAAGCAAACGTCTAAACAAAAAGGCTCTACTGCGGAAATACCAGCTGCCCAAAGTTCTTTGATATGTCAAGGAAATGGAACAAGTCCTTTAATATCCTTTAATGTCAATAATACTATAATAGTGTATATAAGTCTTTTTGAACAAACAGCAGTTCTCACCCAGGTTTTCGTTCAAAATTCTGAGATCACAAGGCTGGCGACCTCGTCGCACATCGCCATGCCATGTCCTTTCGCAACACAGGGGGAGCAAGTCCCACTCGCTCGAGGCGACAATGAGAGCAACAAAGATCCAGGTTGATCAAAACATATCAAAAACCCCGCAAAAAACATTGCGCCATTGCGCACATTGATGGAAATGAATGGGAAATGATGGAAATCGTGGAAATAAACTGTCTGGAATAACGGATCATAATGGAAGATACTATGGATTTGTTCTGATTGAAATACGATCATTGATCAATGACTTGAGAACTGACAAAACATACTCGGCTCTTGTGGAGAATCAAAAACATCAAACGAAAGGGCTGTTCTTGACAGATGATTGCATGTGGTGACTAATGTTGACGATCTTATCTGAAACGGGGTTTGAATTTGTGGAATCAGCCACATTGAACTAGAAGGGAAATCCGTTGTGCAAAGTTCCACTCTAGTCACTGTCCCTACAGCTGCATGAGTTTGCAATATGACCTTGGCAACACATTCATACCAGGAACATCCAGGAACCATTGCAATTGCAATATATTGCCATCAGGTTCAGAACTGAGACGGATACTACACCGAGACAAAGCGGAACTCCACGGCTTTTGATCGCAGGGGTTTCAGGCGCAAATTCAATTTTGCAGTTCCACAATGCTGTCGTTGCATCTCTTCATTCAGAGACGCCTTCATTTTGCTCAGGGATCATTTCAATTCATTTCAGTCCAGACCATGTGCATGCAATCAGTGGCACTGGTATGAGGAGATTCACTGATCGATACATAGATAATCAATGATAATCATAGATATACATAGGGTGAGAGAAGATTGTCGTGGGATGTCATCGGTTGTCAGATAGCACGATGCTTTCTGCCATCCCGCCATTCCAGGCTGTTTCCCCTGTTTTCCAAGCGCCGGCGCAGGTTCCCGGAGTCCTTCAGCGTCTCCGGTGACGGACGCTAGCTGGGCTTGGCGGGCCTGAAAAGATAACAGTCTGGGATAGTTTAGGGACGTTTACGATGCATTTTGATCATTATGATTAAATTATGATCATTACGGCAGATTTGAGCTGGAAGCAATCGGATGTAATAGGAGTAGTTACTTGCAGACAGCTTGGAAGCTTGTGCAGCTTGTGCAGCTTGTGCAGCTTGTGCAGTGGGTAGTAGAATTCACCCTCAAAGTGAGATAAAGTGAGCAATAGTTTCAGACTAAGTTAACAAATTTGCTCCACAGGACCAAATGATGAACATGCTAGGTGGCAAATCAATCAACACATATCATACAGTAATAGAATTCAAATGAATTCAACATAAATTCATCATAATTCAGATTCAAGTCGGCATGGGTTGATGATGGTTGATGTGTTGTGTCAGGAGCTCCCGCTGATTGAAACCGGACGCAGTTCACCGAAGCCTCGAAAGCCGCCTGTGGCTGCGGCCACGACACACTTTCCACTGGTCTCAAGGACCAGTCCTCAACACATCGCACCAGAAGCTGTGTTCGTGTTTTTGGTGATGTTGAAATATGTTGAAATATGTTGAGACTTTGACTTTGTGTTTCAGTCATTTTCTGTCTTGCGTTTCTTACCGTTTTTTGTTTCATGTTCAGTCCTCATCAGTCCTCCGCCTTGGGGGAGGAAAAAATGTTTTCAGTGCGTTCCAAGGCGTGCCCCGCACTACGATCGGGCAGAATCTCACACCACGCTGGGCCGTGGATCCAATTCGCCCTCGACCAGCTCCAGTGGACCCGTGAGTTTGGGTTTACATGGCAGGCGCACGGGGCATGGGGCGCATGGGGTGCAGATGGGTGCAGGGTATGGGGTGCAGGGTCCCTTCTGTTTAAACTCTGAGGGTGTTGGAACGATTTTGAACGCGGCAAATATGCTGCAATTGGTTTTCTCTGATGCTTTACATTCTAGGAGCATGGATGAGGTCACACGCAGCCCTGCCTGTTATTCCCTTTCACCTGGTGTTTTTAAAGCTAAGTTTTGCGCAAGGCTCCAACTGCATCCAACTGCAAGATTGATTTTTCTTGAACATTTTCTATGACCTCGGAATTTTCAAAACATTCCATGACATGAAATATCATACAAATACATAAAATTCAATGAATTTCAATGACATAAAATGTTCACTGCAGATTTCACCGTGCCAGGAGAGTCTCCAGTGGACAAAGTAATGCCACTGTCGCAGTCCCTCATGAGATTCTAGCGCGAGGCGGACGCCTCTTCAGAGGTTTGCTTCATGTTATAATATGTTATAATATGTTATACTGTGTTATAATGTGTTATAATGTTGTATAATGTTGTATAATGTTGTATAATCAGTACACATTATTACCGATATCACTGCGTTGCACATGTTGCACATGATCTCTTGTCCCTGAAGTCTGGCAATCTGAAAGTTTGGGGATTTGATCCTTCCTTAGGGACGCACTGAACGATACCCGTCCATTGTCGGCTCGAGGTGAACGAGCGCAGCGGAAGTTCCGTGAAGCATTGGCAAAGGGCAAAGCTCAACCGCGGACCGCGCCGTTGGGACTGGGATGAGATCGAGTCTTTAGTCCGGCATGTCCGGTGTCCATTAAGAAAGTATAGACATGTACCCTCCGGTAAACTAACATAGCTATTGAAAATTGTCATTTATAGTGGATTTACCCATTAAAAATGATGATTTTCCATAGTTATGTTAGTTTACCAGAGGGTATAGACTTCAGAAATATGTGAAACACATCGAAACACTTTCACAAAACTGGGATGACCGGGATGACCCATATCCCATAGATTTCGATGCAATCAAGACACCAAGAGATTAGCGAACAATTCAAAGCTTGCCCACACTTTGTTGAACATCGTTGACATTCCGCGCCAGCATGTGCTTTCACCATCTTTCACCTTGGTCTTTGTGTTTCAATCATTGCAGCGAGTGCCTCTGCAGGACACTTAAAGTGATGTTTGTCGGACGGGGCCGAGCAGGCGGCAGAAGAGACACGAACCACGCATAACCACGCATTGTAAGAGAATCTTGATGTACAGTTTGCAAGAGCAATCATTATTTCAAGGGGATTATTCTTGGAGCCATTGCGCATTTCAAATTCTTACAGATGAATTGCCTCACACATTTGGTTTCTGTCCAGCACTGCAGCAATCCTTTTGTGGAACCCACTGATTGAAAAGGGCTGCTGTTTTCTGGTCCTCGTTTACGTGGGAATATGCGGGACTTGCACGCAAATGATCTTGGGAGTATTTGGCAGTTGGTTTAGTTGTCCTCATTTAGATCATTTAGGATTCTGAGCCTGTGCATGAATCTTGTAGAATCGTAGAAAGTCTGAAGAACTTGTCACGGGCTTTGAGAGATGGTGTCGTTGGCCCTTGGTTCAAGAGTTCTGTGAAGATGTTCCGCAGTTTTGTGGCGATCCGCAAAAAAAGTAGACTCTGTAGACTCTTTGTGTTGCGCACACCATCCAGTGCGGAGTTCAGACCGTGGATTTAGCAAGTTGGATGCCTTGGATATCCCTGGATATCCCTGGATACATGGGCATTTCTGGTGTGTGTGTGTAAAGAACCGCTTTGTCATCTTTGTTGGAGTCCATGTCGTGTTGGAGCCTAGATTCCCTAGATGCGATCTGCAAACAAAAATCAAAACCAGTACGAACGCTGCCAGTGTTTCACTTGATTTTCATGTCTTCACCGTCTTCACCAGGGCTTGTGATCATTTAAGTGATCAATTGAGGATCAAAAGGTGGGTCGTTGCATCACTGGCTCAGCATATCTCAGCATATCTCAGCATGAAAGCATGAAACTGGCATATGTCACTGGCACGTGTCGGCAGGCAAGACCTCCACGTTGAAATCCCTATGCAATGAAGCCTTCGATGCTAGCGAAGCCTCAACGCATGGAGTGGAGAATGCCGTTTGCACCACAGACTCTTGGCGCATGACTGTGAGGTTGTGCAAGGTTGTGCAAGGCTGTGGAAGGTGAACATGTGCCATTAAGAAGCTGTTGATTATCCTGATCCAGCTGTCTCGTCCTGTTCTCATTTGTTTGTATTCGACTACTCGAAATTGTTCAAAATTGTAATACGGTACCGTATGCAAACGGAACGGCAGGACGTGTTTAGCTTTGTTACGACCGCTGGTTCCTGCTGGATCGTTCTTGCATAAGAGAAAGTATCCTGCCTCGGCAAGTATTGCAGATCTAAGTGCGCTGCGAGAGCGTTTCGAACACACAGCGTTTGCCTATCCGCCTCTCAGACTATGGAATTTCGTTAGTTTTTACTAAGTGTTACTAAGATACTAAGTGCGTCTCATCGTGTATTCTTATCTATCTTTGCTCAGCGTTGCTAGTCTTTATTCTGAGGAACGACGCTTCGAGACTTCAACGCAGCCCACACGTGAATGGCGGAGAATGAGGTCCTTGGAGACACCTCGAGTCTCGAGAGTGATACTGCAATTGACACTGTATATTGTCGTGTTGAAAGATGTTGAAAGATGTTGACAGATGTTGAAAGTTTAAAGAATTGGTGTAGAGAAGTGAGAGCAGAACTCCAGACTGCGAACTGCGCAGCCTTTCCTCAAAGCAATCATTGCCTCGAAAGCAAGATGGGACTTGTGGAGATATTGATATTGAGGATTCTTCAGAAGATGTGTACTTCTTATCATGATTTACTCATGCTGTCTCGTAATATCATACAATATCTCATGCTGTACATGCTGTGCACATTTGTGCACTGTGCTACTAGTATAATGCTGCTGTCGGTGTGAGGCGTTTGCCAACCAACGACTTTGATGTCGTCGTGGCGAAACACGTCGCACAAGAGCTGCGCCGCTCAGTGTCCGAGGAGCCAACTGGGAGAAACGGATCACGGACGCAGTACGGACACGTTACGGACACGGTACGTCTGATCGTGGGATGAAGAATGATGAAGAGCAGCAGTTTTTCTACAGAAAAGAGGCGTCAGGTGAAAAGTTCATGGATGTTACGGTGTACTTGTTTCAAAGAAAAATGTCTTGTGTCAAACAGTCATCTAGGTGTAGGTGTTAAAAGTGCACACTGGAGCAAAAAGTCCTGTTGCCGTGTTAATTTCTGTCTAGTTGATAGACCTAAGAACACAGAAGGTTCAACAAGTTGAATCCGACCTTCTTGAATTATCATGCTAGCAATTTGGCTACATTCGTAGTAACATGTTACAACACAATACAACACCATACTGTACAACACAAACAAATAACGGAACTGAACTCCGAGCAGTGGAGGACCCTCAGGAAGTGGAACGCGAGCGCCGTGAACGCAACAGTTCTACTGGCGTACCTCCAGCTGGCTGGAGCTCTGTGCTAGTGGATCAGGACACGGCAGAAATTCTCTGAACGTCTCTGACCTCACGGGGAGAAATCCGATGAGATTGGCTGACATATTGCTGACATGTTTTGAATATTCTTGAAATAAATGTGTCGAACTGATTGTTTGAAATATTTTAAAATGAAGCTGAGAAGGGCAAGGGGGGTCGATTTCATTTTTGCGCATCGTCGCGGTGGAAAGAGGAAGCGCAGAAGCAGACACCCCTCACCACCAAGCGGTTTGAAGATGTTCGAAGCCGTTTTACTGTTTTACTGTAGAAAAGGAGAAGCACTTCGCTTGTTTCACAAATATCCGGCACATTCCTACATCGATGGGTCACAAGACTAGACAACTGTTCAAGACCTTGTGAGACCTTGTGGCAGTTGAGTAACAAACAGCGAGAAACGAAGAGCTCGTAGCAGGACGGCGAAGGCAGCGGTTTTAAGATGCCTTTGGATTTGGTCATCAAACATATGCCACTTTGTCAAGATTTATGCTAGGAAGGCTTCAAACGGCCGGCTGGTTGGTTTCTGTTGAGGGTGGTAGAAGAATGTATGTGTTTGAGTCGTTGAAGCCCATGCCTCATCGATCCTCATCGTATTTCATCATGCCTGGGTGACTTTTGCATTGTTTAGCACATTTTAGCATCATCCTCTTCCGGTTCTCATTGCTAAGGTCGCAAGATGGTGACATTGAAGATGTGACCTGGAATTAAAATGAAGCAAAGTGACGGGCAAAACAAAAGTGCTCACAAGAGGATGCAACAAGCAATGGAACATATTGGAACACAATAATTTTGATATTAGATTGTAGTATGTTTTATAGGTGCTTATAAATCTCAATTAGCATTTGTGTAGCCTTGACTTCGCATTTTGGGCGCAGTTTGCCCGATGACGTTTGTGGCATTTTAACCACTGCCTAGTGTTTCAGGTGATCACTCTGCAGACCTTTGATTTTGCCGGTCAAGAGGAGAGCTGAGAGTGTCGGTGGCTATGTGTTGATTGCAGCCGTACGCATGTGCTGTACGCATGTGACTTCTGTTCATCGAAGGGGTCAAAGTGCAGATTGTTTTTTCTCACTAAAACTGTTAGATTGATACAGTTGTAGAGGCTGTTGGCCAGAGCCTGTTGTTTCAATACTTGTACTGTAGGTGATTGCAGATCAAAATGCTAATGGTCCTGGATTAGTCATGATTCGTCTTTGTCTCAGGAGTATCACATGCTTCACCACCTCTTCATGAGCAACAAGGTGGGACAGGAACATGTGGTGGGACATGGTGGGACCCCTGCAGGACCTCATGGAACATTGTGACTCGGGGACGACGCAACAGTGCAATAGGAGCATGTTCTCCATGTATCTCCACATAGTCCATATACGTTCTCAATTCATACGTCTCCATATCCAACAACTTGCGAGCTGTTCTTTTTCGAAATGTCCAACCCCACGTGCAGGGCTTGTACCTTGTGATTTTCGATCTGAGTCTATGGATTGATGCGGAAAATGACGATCGCATTGCCGAGGACCCTGGTAACCCTGGTGCGATATGGTGCAATCGACATGGAACACATCAGAAATACCCACAATTTCGATAGCAGTTTCCTTATGGGAAACCACGGGATGCTGCCCCTGGAATTCTGTGGCAGGAGTCGTTAACGTTCTGGATTTGCTCTGTTGCTTGGCGTCTTTGGGAGAGCGATCATCAGACTGTGCATGATTGTGCTTCTCATTGCTTCTCCAATTTCTCTCCCTCTCTCTCTCTCTTTTTTGGTACCAACAGTCATGCTAGATACCGTAGATACCGTAGACACATGTGGATTCCAATATTGCAGCCCTCTGCCCCTAGGTCCATTGCCATGCTCCGGAGAGCCGCGTTCTTTTAGCCCCTCAGACTGCGCATGTGAACGATCAGAAGATCATGGAAGATCAGCCCCAAAGCGCCCAGAGACGAGTCAGACACTTCAGTAGATGTCTGAAGATCTCTATCTAAACCAGGGAATTAGAAGGCGCAGAAGGCGCAGAACTATTAGTTCTGAAATGTTCTAAAGAAATTAAATATGTATATTAAGGGCTGCCGCCCCCTGCCGCCGACCCCTGGCATCTCCTGAACAAGGAGAGCCCTGAACAAGGGCCGGTCGGGCGCTCAGCAAACAGTACGTAGTCTCCTGAACAAGGAGAACCCCGAACAGGGGTTAGTTTTTTCGATCCATGTGTAGAGTGTGGAGTGTAAAATGTGGAGTATGAAGTGTGGAGTGTAGAGTGTGAGTGCGGAGAGTGTCAAGTGTAGACTGTGAGACTGAAGTGTGGAGTGTGGAGTGTAGAGTGTGGAGTGTGGAGTACAAGTACCGAGTGTAGAGTGGAAAGTGTGGAGTGGAAAGTGTGGAGTGTAAAGGGCGGAGTGTAAAGTGTAGAGCGGAAAATGTGGAGTGTAAAAGGGGGTGTACAGTGTCAAGTGTGGAGTGCAAAGTGTAGAGTGTGGAGTCTAAAGTGTAGAGTGTAAAGTGTGGAGTGTAAAGTGCGGAGTGTAATGTTGAGTGTGGAGTCTAAAGTGGGGAGTGTAGAGTGTAAAGTGTGGAGTGTAAAGTGTAGAGTGTGGAGTCGAAAGTTGGGAGTGTGAAGTGCAGGGTGTGGAGTGTCAAGTGTAGAGCGCAAAGCGTGGAGTGCAAACTTTGGAGTGTACAGCGTGGAGTGGAAAGTGTGGAGTCGAAAGTGTGGAGTGTAGAGTGTGGAGGGTGGAGTACAAAGCGTGGAGTGCCGGGCTAGTGCCTAACGTTGCTTTCTGAAGCCACTAGAAAAGGCTGGAAAAGCTGGAGCACAGGCCCGGCAGCTGGCCACAAAGCGCCCGCCAAGGCGCTGCGGAGGGAAGCCGGGCTAGTGCCTAACGTTGCTGTCTGAAGCCACTAGAAAAGACTGGAAAAGCTGGAGCACAGGCCCGGCAGCTGGCCACAAAGCGCCCGCCAAGGCGCTGCGCAGGGTTTGAGGCGGGGCTGGTGCCTAACGTTGCTTTCGGAAGCCACTAGAAAAGACTCGAAAAGCTGGAGCACAGGCCCGGCAGCTGGCCACAAAGCGCCCGCCAAGGCGCGGCGGAGGGTTTGAAGCCAGGCTAGTGCCTAACGTTGCTTTCTGAAGCCACTCGAAAAGATGGAAAAGCTCGAGCACAGGCCCGGCAGCTGGCCACGAAGCGCCCGCCAAGGCGCTGCGCAGGGCTTGAAGCCAGGCTAGTGCCTAACGTTGCTTTCTGAAGCCACTAGAAAAGACTAGAAAAGCTGGAAAAGCTGGAGCACAGGCCCGGCAGCTGGCCACGAAGCGCCCGCCAAGGCGCTGCGGAGGGTTTGAGGCCGGGCTAGTGCCTAACGTTGCTTCCTGAAGCCACTAGAAAAGACTGGAAAAGCTGGAGCACAGGCCCGGCAGCTGGCCACAAAGCGCCCGCCAAGGCGCTGCGGAGGGTTTGAGGCCGGGCGAGTGCCTAACGTTGCTTTCTGAAGCCACTAGAAAAGACTAGAAAAGCTGGAGCACAGGCCCGGCAGCTGGCCACAAAGCGCCCGCCAAGGCGCGGCGGAGTGTTTGAAGCCAGGCTAGTGCCTAACGTTGCTTTCTCAAGCCACTAGAAAAGACTGGAAAAGCTGGAGCACAGGCCCGGCAGCTGGCCACAAAGCGCCCGCCAAGGCGCTGCGGAGGGTTTGAAGGCCAGGGCTAGTGCCTAACGTTGCTTTCTGAAGCCACTAGAAAAGACTGGAAAAGCTCGAGCACAGGCCCGGCAGCTGGCCACGAAGCGCCCGCCAAGGCGCTGCGGAGGGTTTGAAGCCGGGCTAGTGCCTAACGTTGCTTTCTGCAGCCACTAGACTGATTAGAAAAGCTGGAGTACAGGCCCGGCAGCTGGCCACGAAGCGCCCGCCAAGGCGCTGCGGAGGGTTTGAGGCCGGGCTAGTGCCTAACGTTGCTTTCTGAAGCCACTAGAAAAGATTTGGGGGATGAACGGACGGAGGGGAAAAGGGAAGGAAAAGATGTAGCCAGGCCCGGCGGCAGCTGGCACAAAAGCGCCGCCAAGGCGCGGCGGAGGTTATTTTGAGGCCGGCAGTTGCCTTAACGTGCTTTCTAAGCCCCCCTTCTGCCCAATGACTGGAAAAGCTGGAGCACAGGCCCAGCAGCTGGCCACAAAGCGGCCGCCAAGGCGCTGCGGAGGGTTTGAGGCCGGGCTAGTGCCGTTGCTTTCTGCAGCCACTAGAAAAGACTAGAAAAGGTGGAGCGCAGGCCCGGCAGCTGGCCACGAAGCGCCCGCCAAGGCGCTGCGGAGGGTTTGAGGCCGGGCTAGTGCCTAACGTTGCTTTCTGAAGCCACTAGAAAAGACTAGAAAAGCTGGAAAAGCTGGAGCACAGGCCCGGCAGCTGGCCACGAAGCGCCCGCCAAGGCGCTGCGGAGGGTTTGAAGCCGGGCTAGTGCCTAACGTTGCTTTCTGAAGCCACTAGAAAAGACTGGAAAAGCTGGAGCACAGGCCCGGCAGCTGGCCACGAAGCGCCCGCCAAGGCGGTGCGGAGGGTTTGAGGCCGGGCTAGTGCCTAACGTTGCTTTCTGAAGCCACTAGAAAAGCTGGAAAAGCTGGAGCACAGGCCCGGCAGCTGGCCACGAAGCGCCCGCCAAGGCGCTGCGGAGGGTTTGACGCCGGGCTAGTGCCTAACGTTGCTTTCTGAAGCCACGAGAAAAGATTGGAAAAGCTGGAGCACAGGCGCGGCAGCTGGCCACGAAGCGCCCGCCAAGGCGCTGCGGAGGGTTTGACGCCGGGCTAGTGCCTAACGTTGCTTTCTGCAGCCACTAGAAAAGACTGGAAAAGCTGGAGCACAGGCCCGGCAGCTGGCCACAAAGCGCCCGCCCAGGCGCTGCGGAGGGTTTGAGGCCGGGCAAGTGCCTAACGTTGCTTTCTGAAGCCACTAGAAAAGACTAGAAAAGCTGGAAAAGCTGGAGCACAGGCCCGGCAGCTGGCCACGAAGCGCCCGCCAAGGCGCTGCGGAGGGTTTGAGGCCGGGCTAGTGCCTAACGTTGCTTTCTGAAGCCACTAGAAAAGACTGGAAAAGCCGGAGCACAGGCCCGGCAGCTGGCCACAAAGCGCCCGCCAAGGCGCTGCGAAGGGTTTGAGGCCGAGCTAGTGCCTAACGTTGCTTTCTGAAGCCACTAGAAAAGACTGGAGAAGCTGGAGCACAGGCCCAGCAGCTGGCCACAAAGCGCCCGCCACGGCGCTGCGGAGGGAAGCCGGGCTAGTGCCTAACGTTGCTTTCTGCAGCCACTAGAAAAGATTGGAAAAGCTCGAGCAGAGGCCCGGCAGCTGGCCACAAAGCGCCCGCCCAGGCGCTGCGGAGGGTTTGAGGCCGGGCTAGTGCCTAACGTTGCTTTCTGAAGCTACTAGAAAAGACTGGAAAAGCTGGAGCACAGGCCCGGCAGCTGGCCACAAAGCGCCCGCCAAGGCGCTGCGGAGGGTTTGGAGCCAGGCTAGTGCCTAACGTTGCTTTCTGAAGCCACTAGAAAAAATGGAAAAGCTCGAGCAGAGGCCCGGCAGCTGGCGCTGCGCAGGGCTTGAAGCCAGGCTAGTTTCTAACGTTGCTTTCTGAAGCCACTAGAAAAGACTGGAAAAGCTGGAGCACAGGCCCGGCAGCTGGCCACGAAGCGCCCGCCAAGGCGCTGCGGAGGGTTTGAAGCCGGGCTAGTCATACCGTTGCTTTCTGAAGGCACTCGCAAGACCTTGGAAAAAGGAAAAGCTGGAGCAACAGCCAGGAAAGGCGCCGCTGGCACAAACGCGCCCGCCAAGGCGACTGTGGCGGAGCGGTTTGACGGAAGGCCGAGATCATTCAGATGCCTACTAACGTTGCTTTCTGAAGCCACTAGAAAAGACTGGAAAAGCTGGAGCACAGGCCCGGCAGCTGGCCACAAAGCGCCCGCCAAGGCGCGGCGGAGTGTTTGAAGCCAGGCTAGTGCCTAACGTTGCTTTCTCAAGCCACTAGAAAAGACTGGAAAAGCTGGAGCACAGGCCCGGCAGCTGGCCACAAAGCGCCCACCAAGGCGCTGCGGAGGGTTTGAAGCCAGGCTAGTGCCTAACGCTGCTTTCTGAAGCCACTAGAAAAGACTGGAAAAGCTCGAGCACAGGCCCGGCAGCTGGCCACGAAGCGCCCGCCCAGGCGCTGCGGAGGGTTTGAAGCCAGGCTAGTGCCTAACGTTGCTTTCTGAAGCGACTAGAAAAGACTGGAAAAGCTGGAGCACAGGCCCGGCAGCTGGCCACAAAGCGCCCGCCCAGGCGCTGCGGAGGGGGTAGGTGTTTTGAGGCAGGCGCGGAGGGCACTAACGTTGAGGGATGAATTGCCCATAGAAAGACTCCCTTGGAAAAGCTGGAGCACAGGCCCGGCAGCTGGCCACAAAGCGCCCGCCAAGGCGCTGCGGAGGGTTTGAGGCCGAGCTAGTGCCTAACGTTGCTTTCTGAAGCCACTAGAAAAGACTGGAAAAGCTGGAGCACAGGCCCAGCAGCTGGCCACAAAGCGGCCGCCAAGTCGCTGCGGAGGGTTTGAGGCCGGGCTAGTGCCTAACGTTGCTTTCTGCAGCCACTAGAAAAGACTAGAAAAGGTGGAGCACAGGCCCGGCAGCTGGCCACGAAGCCGCCCGCCAAAGGCGCTGCGGAGGGGTTTGAGGCCGGGGGCTAAGTTGCCTAACGTTGCTTTCTGAAGCCATAGGAAAAGACTTTAGAAAAGCGTGGTGAATTCTGGATCGGTGGTTTTGAACGTGAGAAAATGGAAAGGATAGGGGGGAGGAACCCGGAAATGGGGACCGCGGAAGGAGCTACGCGGAAAGGGGGAAAAAAAAGGAGGATGGAACAAAAAGAGGAGCACAGGCCCGGCAGCTGGCCACAAAGCGCCCGCCAAGGCGCTGCGGAGGGTTTGAAGCCGGGCTAGTGCCTAACGTTGCTTTCTGAAGCCACTAGAAAAGACTTGGAAAAGCAGGAGCACAGGCCCGGCAGCTGGCCACGAAGCGCCCGCCAAGGCGCTGCGGAGGGTTTGAAGCCAGGCTAGTGCCTAACGTTGCTTTCTGAAGCCACTAGAAAAGACTTGGAAAAGCTGGAGCACAGGCTCGGCAGCTGGCCACGAAGCGCCCGCCAAGGCGCTGCGGAGGGTTTGAGGCCGGGCTAGTGCCTAACGTTGCTTTCTGAAGCCACTAGAAAAGACTGGAAAAGCTGGAGCACAGGCCCAGCAGCTGGCCACAAAGCGCCCGCCAAGGCGCTGCGGAGGGTTTGAGGCCGGGCTAGCGCCTAACGTTGCTTTCTGCAGCCACTAGAAAAGACTAGAAAAGGTGGAGCACAGGCCCGGCAGCTGGCCACGAAGCGCCCGCCAAGGCGCTGCGGAGGGTTTGAGGCCGGGCAAGTGCCTAACGTTGCTTTCTGAAGCCACTAGAAAAGATTAGAAAAGCTGGAAAAGCTGGAGCACAGGCCCGGCAGCTGGCCACGAAGCGCCCGCCAAGGCGCTGCGGAGGGTTTGAGGCCGGGCTAGTGCCTAACGTTGCTTTCTGAAGCCACTAGAAAAGACTGGAAAAGTTGGAGCACAGGCCCGAGCTGGCCACAAAGCGCCCGCCAAGGCGCTGCGAAGGGTTTGAGGCCGAGCTAGTGCCTAACGTTGCTTTCTGAAGCCACTATAAGATTGGAAAAGCTGGAGCACAGGCCCAGCAGCTGGCCACAAAGCGCCCGCCACGGCGCTGCGGAGGGTTTGAGGCCGGGCTAGTGCCTAACGTTGCTTTCTGCAGCCACTAGAAAAGATTGGAAAAGCTCGAGCAGAGGCCCGGCAGCTGGCCACAAAGCGCCCGCCCAGGCGCTGCGGAGGGTTTGAAGCCAGGCTAGTGCCTAACGTTGCTTTCTGAAGCTACTAGAAAAGACTGGAAAAGCTGGAGCACAGGCCCGGCAGCTGGCCACAAAGCGCCCGCCCAGGCGCTGCGGAGGGTTTGAAACCAGGCTAGTGCCTAACGTTGCTTTGCGACGCCACTAGAAAAGATTGGAAAAGCTCGAGCAGAGGCCCGGCAGCTGGCCACAAAGCGCCCGCCCAGGCGCTGCGGAGGGTTTGAAGCCAGGCTAGTGCCTAACGTTGCTTTCTGAAGCCACTAGAAAAGACTGGAAAAGCTCGAGCACAGGCCCGGCAGCTGGCCACAAAGCGCCCGCCCAGGCGCTGCGGAGGGTTTGAAGCCAGGCTAGTGCCTAACGTTGCTTTCTGAAGCCACTAGAAAAGACTGGAAAAGCTGGAGCACAGGCCCGGCAGCTGGCCACGAAGCGCCCGCCAAGGCGCTGCGGAGGGTTTGAAGCCAGGCTAGTGCCTAACGTTGCGTTCTGAAGCTACTAGAAAAGACTGGAAAAGCTGGAGCACAGGCCCGGCAGCTGGCCACGAAGCGCCCGCCCAGGCGCTGCGGAGGGTTTGAAGCCAGGCTAGTGTCTAACTCTGCTTTCTGAAGCCACTAGAAAAGACTGGAAAAGCTCGAGCACAGGCCCGGCAGCTGGCCACAAAGCGCCCACCAAGGCGCTGCGGAGGGTTTGAAGCCAGGCTAGTGCCTAACGTTGCTTTCTGAAGCCACTAGAAAAGACTGGAAAAGCTGGAGCACAGGCCCGGCAGCTGGCCACGAAGCGCCCGCCAAGGCGCTGCGGAGGGTTTGAAGCCAGGCTACTGCCTAACGTTGCGTTCTGAAGTGACTCGAAAAGAGTGGCAAAGCTGGAGCACAGGCCCGGCAGCTGGCCACGAAGCGCCCGCCCAGGCGCTGCGGAGGGTTTGAAGCCAGGCTAGTGCCTAACGCTGCTTTCTGAAGCCACTAGAAAAGACTGGAAAAGCTCGAGCACAGGCCCGGCAGCTGGCCACAAAGCGCCCACCAAGGCGCTGCGGAGGGTTTGAAGCCAGGCTAGGGCCTAACGTTGCTTTCTGAAGCCACTAGAAAAGATGGAAAAGCTCGAGCACAGGCCCGGCAGCTGGCCACGAAGCGCCCGCCAAGGCGCTGCGCAGGGCTTGAAGCCAGGCTAGTGCCTAACGTTGCTTTCTGAAGCTACTAGAAAAGTCGAAAAGTCTGGTCAAAGGCCCGGCAGATGGCCACAAAGCGCCGGCCAAGGCGCTGCGGAGGGTTTGAAGGCAGGCGAGTGCCTAACGTTGCTTTCTGAAGCCACTAGAAAAGTTGTGTGCAAAGGCCCGCAGTACTGGGCAAAGGCCTGGCAGATGGCCAAAAGCGCCGGCAAAGGCGCTGCGGAGCGTTTGAGGGCAGGCTACAACTTTTTCTCGGGCGCGCTCCCCCTGCCGTTTGCTGGGGTCGGCGGATATATGCATATATGCATATATGTATCTGTGTATAGATGTATAGATGTATAGATGTATAGATGTATAGATGTGTAGATGTATAGATGTATAGATGTATAGATGTATAGATGTATAGATGTATACGCGTATACATCTATACACATATACACGTATACACGTATACATGTATACATGTATACGAGTATACATCTATACATCGATGCATCTATACATAGATACATCTATACATCTATACATCTATATATCTATACATCTATGCATCTACACATCCAGACATCTATACATCTACAGTATACATCGATACATGGATACATGGATACATCTATAGCCCTATACATCTATAGCCCTATACACATATACATCTATACATCTTTACATCTATACAGTACATCTATACATCTATACATCTATACATCTATACATCTATACATCTATACATACATACGCACGTACGTACGTAGGTACGTAGGTACCTAGGTACGTAGGTACGTAGGTACGTAGGTACATAGGTACGCAGGTACGTAGAACTTAGGTACGTACGTAGGTACGCACAGACAGACAGACAGACAGACAGACAGACAGCCAGCCAGCCAGTCAGACAGACAGACAGACAGACGGACGTACCGGACATACGTATGTAACGTACGTAAGTACGTACGTACATAACCTTACATTACATTACATTACATTACATACCAGTACATTACATTACATTAGATTTACATTACATTACATTTACATTACATTACATTACATCACATACCATACCATACCATACCATAACATACAAACATGCATACATGCATACATGCATACATGCATACATGCATACATGCATATATGCATACATGAATACATAGATAGATAGATAGATAGATAGATAGATACATACATACATACATAGATACATAGATACATAGATACATAGATACATAGATACATAGATACATAGATACATAGATACATAGATACATAGATACATAGATACATAGATACATAGATACATACATTACATTACCTTACCTTACCTTACATTACCTTGCATTACCTTACCTTACCTTACATTACATTACGTTACATTACATTACATTACGTTACATTACCTTACCTTACCTTACATTACATTGCATTACGTTACATTACATTACATTACGTTACATTACATTACCATACATACATACATGCATACGTTACGTTACGTTACGTTAGATTACCTTACCATACATACATACATACATACCTACATACATACCTACCTACCTACATACATACATACATCCATCCATCCATCCATGCATACATCCATGCATCATGCATGCATGCATGCATGCATGCACCTACACACCTACACACCTACACAACGTGTGTGCGTGTGTGCGTGCAAAGCGTGCAGCAAAAAGGGGAGGAAGTTGAAGTCCATGTCTCAATATTCATGATATTCATGGCAAGTGGACTGATAGGAAAAAACATCAAAGCTTTGCTGTACGGTCTGGTTTGTTCGCATCACTGCTGTACTGGGAGCACCTGGGTGAAATGATGATCTGGCAGAGTATTTCCAGAACAGCTCTCTGACTGGAGTGCCCATATCTAATGCGATAAAGATGCATCTGCATGTTCTGCGAATTCAGAAATTGATGAAGACGAGGACCCCCTTGTTTGTTTCATCACGCGCTGACGACCCGGGTCTGGAAGTTCCATCCTTTTTACCCACTCTGCCTGGACTTTGCCCAGGTCGTTCCCTGTTTTTCACATTCAGGGATGCCTTCCATTCTGAGCTCCAGCAGCAAAATCAACTACGGCCACTCTTACGTCCTTAGTGCCTTGGTGGTTTCGTCATGTGTGGTGGGGGGTTGGCGAGGTTGGTAGACTTAAACAGGATTCTACCATTGCAAAGCATAATCTGCCATGGATTTTTGCTTGTGCTGAGGCGATCCGAAGCAGAAGATGTATGCTGAGATGGAAATGCGAGACGACCCGTTACGTTTTCCAGACGTAGGACTGAGTGCGAGCAGCAAAATCAGCAGAGTGGAAGTGCCCAGACAGAATCTTTGCCACAGATTGGTCACAGGACTTGGCTGGACTCGAAATACCCGGTGGGGAACTGCTGGAGCGTTCGCCAAAGTTTTCTCAAGCATGGACAAGGACAATGCGGCGTTGAGCACAAGAAGCTCCCATTTCACCAAATTTTGTGGCAGCAAGCTGCCTCACGTGGCTGTTAAATCTTTTTGAGAATCTTGTACAGTTTGTACAGGGCATAGGCAGGACAGATGCGCTGAAATCAGAGAGCCAGTGACTGAACAGTTCAAGATGACATGGAACTGTTTGCCCTTTGGCAGGATATGACGAATGCAAAGTTCCCATTCCTGATTATCCACGACCCGCAGGATGCTCCCACGTGGCTGAGTTATTTTTTGAAGTGAGATACAGTATATAAGTGAGGCTGTAAATATTTTGACTGCTCGCAAATACTCGCAAATCATTTGGCCACGGATCCGAACACGCTGTGATTCGCGTGTTCCGAGTTTGTTTGTCAGCTCTGACTCAGCTCTGACGGCTTTGATTGCTCCTAGCGGTCCTAGCCTGCCCACATTGCAGGATAAGATTACCTTTTTCGAAGGCTCTGAAAAGTTGATGGAACGCAGCCCAAGCAATGACAAAGAATTGCGCCGCTTCGACACAGGCAGGTTCGTGGAGGGTTGAGGTTTGTAGCCAGTGCTGGAAAACTGGTTCATCTGGTCGCTTCGTTCAAGTTCTTTTTTCGAAGGGTTTTTTGTGCCTGACGCAATTTGCTCTTGACAAAAAGCACTGATCTGATAAATGGCAATGATCAAACGCCTTCGGCAGATCCCGGCAGGCGGTTTTCATTGCATTTGCTTCATTGACCTAGAGGGATATGCGCAGACCTCAATGTGCTTCGGAAGTGGTCGCATAAAAGCATGGCACAAGTTGCACAAGTGCAAGTTTCAGACAAGTCATAGATGCATCGGGGGAGAAATCCATCACTGATATCACTAAGATCACATGTTCTTACTGAGCTGGCTGACTGATGTGACCTTTCAGATCTTTCAGGTTGGTGTCCAGTCATCCTGGATGAACCAGCGCTTGGCTTGAGTCGAAAAGAGTGGCCTCATTGACGCGACGTGCCACGACTTGCCACGACTTGCCACGACGTGCCACGTTGCAGGAGATCATGTTGCTTCGCTGTATACCGTTGATGTCTCTCTTCTGGTGGTTTGAATTTATGCAAGATGTGAGACTGTGAGACATGAACAAGATTCTAACAAGATGAACAAGGGCACACACACAAACATGACACGATTGCGGGTACAGGACTTTCTTGATCTCTCTGTACAAAGCAGATAGAATGCAGATAGTGTTCTCACGGGGCGGTCGAGCGGCCGAGAGATTTTTTGAACAAAATGGCTGGTCTCTTTGTCCCAAAAGAATATACGCAACATACAATATATCCAAAATTCTTCAAACATGTCCAAACCTTGTGTTGGGTCTGGTGCTCTGAAGTGGGCTGAACAGCTTGGCTTCTTTTGATTTCTGGCTGCAAAGGTAGCAGTGTTGGCACGATTGAAAGCTTTCGTGACAACACAAGATGTGGACCTTCGGAGAAAACCTATGCTTGGCCTGGAGTTTCATTCTTATTTTTCACATCCACAACTTGAATTGTGAAAGTGCACCGCAGCAATCTACAGCAATGGTCATCAGTTGCTGCTGCGAGGTGCTGCTTTGGAAGCCTCCTTTGATGATGCCAGACGGGAGGTCCCGTCGCACCGAACTACATTGGCAGTAGAGGTAGCAATCATATTCACATAGTGGTGCACAGCATTATATTATAGAATTTATAGATGAATTCACATCAAAACATACGTACAATCATAAGTGTAAATCCGTCCGCACCGAAAGTGCCGGAGCGCCCAAACTGGGCCCAAGTTAGCTTGTAAGGCCAAGGCCAAGGTTGGTCCCAGTGTTGGAGGTTTGAGCTAAGTAGGCCCGTGTTCAGCCCACATTCCCAGCAATATTTGTCAACTTCGAAAAGCCGTTCCTGCTGCGCAATTCCCGTAGCCGTAGCCTTTCATTTCATCGGGGTGCGGGCGGTGCTCGACGTGATGCAACTAGAACTAGGGCTTGTTGGGAGCATGGTTCCAAGCCATGACTCACTGCAGACAGTGCTCTGAATTCATGAGATTTTAACCAACGGCCCCCAACAACTCCGAAGTCATTGCGACCCAAATGCCCTCTCGAATCTGCAGGTATTATGTATTCACATGCATGTGAAAACAAAACGTGTAGAGGATGGATGGATGGATGGATGGATGGATGGATGGATGGATGGATGGATGGATGGATGGATGGATGGATGGATGGATGGATGGATGGAGGGATGGATGGATGGATGGATGGATGGATGGATGGATGGATGGATGGATGGATGGATGGATGGATGGATGGATGGATGGATGGATGGATGGATGGATGGATGGATGAATGGATGAATGGATGAATGGATGAATGGATGAATGGATGCATATGTAATGTAATGTAATGGAGTGCGAATCAAGAGATACAGTAAAACTGATATTTTCCGCGTTTCAAGCAGAACAGCCCTTGCTGATCTCAGATTGTTGTGTTTACCTCCATGCACAGGTGGAACACCAGACGCGACGCCGGTATACAGCGGAACATGCTTTGGCAGCTGCACGCAGTGAACTAGGCATGATGCCGGCTCTTTAGCACGGAAACCTCAGAATTCCCACTCTTAACTTTTTGTTTTTGATGCTAACATATGCTAACTGCTGCTTTGTAGTTGCAGTGGTCCCGTGGGAACATCGTGACACCATTCCGGACAGGTCGCTTGAAAGCCGCCTATGAGGCCATCACTCCATTAGTTTTGACTCCCAAGAGCTATGCCTGACTCAGCTTGACAGGCTGAGCAGGAAGGCTGGCGAAAACGGGAGGACGCGGCAACCGGCATGTTTCGCAACTGTGCTTGGATTGGAGTTGTTCACAGGAGCACTTCTGTGAGACACTTACGACAGCAGAGGCTTGCCAACGGCAAAGGGACAGTTGGTGAGCATGTTACAACATGTTGGACTTGTTGCACTCTGAAAGTCAAACCAGAGGAACAACTTCAATTCTGAGTACTACAAACTTTCAGTAACTGTTTTTAGGCCGGAATATTTTTTGCTTAAATTTTCTGCAAGGCACGTGCAGAACAGAACGCATTAGAAGCTCAAGAGGCGGCGAGAAGTCGACTGGTTTAAGGGTGAACCAGAGATGGGAACCAAAAAATGGTCTACATGAAATATCATGACATGAAAGTATTGAGAGATGAAATGAAGATAATGAAGAAATTGGCAAACTTCAGCAAAAAACCAAGAGTCCGGAGTGCTAAGATCCAAGATGATCCGAGTTCTTCCGATTTTTTGATTTCCCACGCTGTCTCCTATCCTCCTTGTGACTTTAAACTTTAAACATTTGTTGTGTCTGATATTCCGATAGGCGCAGATTGAACTGCGAAGCTGCCGCGAGGTCTGTGTAAACTTGGAGAAACCTGGGGGCAATATTGTCCAATAATTGGAAGTGTTTTTTGTGCATTCGCATTGGTTCAGTTCTTGAACATATAATTTTCAACGCCATCTTCATTTTTCTGGAAGCTGCGGTTGCAATGTAACTTGTTGACATTCAAGGGCAGTCTGGTGGCCTCACAGGAGTTGGCAGAATTGCGGCCGTGACC